CTGGATATAAGGTGCTGGTTTTCACCTTTAAAGCCCTGCATGGCTTGGGACTAGGTTATCTGAGGGAACATCTTTTTCCAAGAGTCTCTATCCATCCAATTTGATCCAGCAGACTGGGCATGCTGCATAAACTGTCATCCAAAGAGTGTTGACTGGTGGGAATTACAAGACAATCCTTCTCTGCTATAGCCCCTGCTTTGTGGAATAATCTCTCAGTGATTAAAATGGCCTCAATTTTGTTGGCCTTTCATAAGACTTTAAAAACTTGGTTATATACTTGGACCTGATGCTCGGAATGTGTTGAAGGCCCTATTTCTTAGATATATTGTTACTTGGCTAACTATTTTGGCTGCTATATGTAATTTTTGAATAATTTTATTGTTTTTCATTGTTTTAAAATAGTTGTAAGGTCCTGCCTCAGCTAGTAATCCCAAGAAAGCAGAATTCCTGAAACTGGCATTATTTCAAAAGGAACTTTTATTGGGATGTAGTGATAGCAGAATAGCAAAGCAAGATCTAAAGAAGTCCCGCACAAAACATTATAGTAAAATGCTCCTTTCAAACCCCCCCTCAGTGCCCAATGGTCCAGTATGATTTTGGCTAATTCATAGGTGTAAAGTTGTTATGAGAACCAAAGTGATAAAACCACAGTTCTCAGGCCTTTAGTGTTCATCCCGGTCTCTTCCCAGCATAGCAGAGATAAGACAGATGGCCCCAGGCACATTCCTCCTCCCTTTCACACTGAGAGGGATGCATCAAAGATGAAATGAACAAAGTAAAGGAAATACATCTTAAAGCTTACAGATTGGCCCCAGGCCCAAAAGAATGAAATCTCCCCCCTCCCAACCGAATGGCAGTACCTGAAACAAAATGAAATGAATAGATAGTTTAAGGGTCTGACAATAGTTTTAGAATTGTAAGGCCCCCAGAGTCACTTGGCTGAGATTAGGAGGTAAATAAATTAAATAATTTAATTAAATAAATAAATATTGCTGCCATGGGACACAGCATTTCAAGTCAGTTCTCTGAAGCCTATTAGCATGCCTGACATCGCCTGGACACAGTGACAAACACCACTTCCAGAGTTATTAAATGACTGCCTCATTTGTGAAAAGACACTGACATTCACATGTATGTGGGCTTGTGAACTTGCCCTTTCTTTTAGATGTTTCAGACTGTCCCAGTTTGAGATGGAACTTTAAAAGACAATGACAAAATTAGTTTATGAGCTGACCTTGACTATATAGGTCTTTCTTCCTGTGTTTAATAAAATACCTCTTCTCCTCCGAGTTAGAATCACTGGCAGCAGCAGCAATGCAATCATCTTGCCAGATTGTTTGGGTTTGTGCGGGGACTGCAATTACAGCTTCTTTGGAGAAGAAAAAAAAGAAGAAGATTCAGCCAATTACCACTCTAAGCATGCTCAATTAGATACTAATTAGTAATATCTAATATCTAATAATTTGTTAGTAATATTATATTAGACATCCTTCCTGGACAGTCTTAGACTAGCTGGAGAAAGAGAACCTCCTAGGAAAGGAGCAGGCCTCATTTCATGCAGGTTGGTCTGTATTAAATTAAGAGCTGGTCCTGTCTCAAGCAATTGAAAAACATTGCTAAGATTGAAAGAATTTTAGACATAGAATTGTGGGTTGGTAAGCGAGATGTGCTGGTAAAAATAAAATAAAGAATACAGTAGTATAGAATATGGAAAATGTCAAAGTGGAGAGAAAAAAACAGAAGGAAAAGAAAAAAAAGGAAAATAGGAAGGAAGGAAGGAGAGAGAAAAGAAAGAAAGGAAGGAAAGAAAGCAAGCAAGCAAGAAAGAAAGAAAGAAAGAAAGAAAGAAAGAAAAAGAAAGAACAAATTCAGCTGGACCCCCTTCCCCCAAAAAGATACAAAACAGAACAGTTTCTTATTTTCAGTATTTGGTTTATGTACTACACTATTCGGGGAGGTAATATCACTTGATGATGCTTTGAATGCAGAGAAAAATTCAACAGCAATCTTCTTTTTTCTCCAGAGGTATCTGGTATCTGCAGCTTCTTTTAGTGGATAAAGATTCCAAGATAACTTTCTGACTGTAGTATTTGTAGCCTGTAGCATTTCTGCATTGTAGTCCAATGTGGAACAAGATCAACCTTTAGCAATTTTTGTGAGAAAAATATATGAGATTTTATCTCATATGTCTCAGAGACTTGAAATTGAAGCTACATATAAGTCTGACTACCTTATGAGGTCTATTTGGAGAGGTACCTGGACCAACATTTGAATTAAAAACTTCTGTTCACATTTTACTGTTTGAGAATTTAAGATTTTTACAATTATTTTCTTTGTAGATCTACATTTGATAATCATACTGGAAAGTTTGGCTGAAAGGCTATTTGAATACATGATATTTTATATATTTATCTAAATAGGTATCCTTTTGTTAACATTCATCTCAACATTTCTGGGATGAGAACAAGAATGTTTTTCTCTGTATATTTGCAATTTGCTTTATTATTATATTTAGCCTTATTTTTTTTAATGCAATTATCAAACAGTCTGAACATAATTAAGGTGCAAATAATTTCAGCTAGCCTATTAAAATTTAAATAAATATATTGAATCTAATCACTGTTCTCAATTAAAACAATATAACCTTTGGAAACTGAGAAAAGCAGAAATAACTTAAACAGTATCAGCAGCACATTTGTATACTGGAAACCAACTGTAGTAGCTGATTGTGGTTGTCAAAACTTTATTAAGAGAGCTGCCAATTATTTATGCAAAGAATTGTCTATGTTTGGTGTGGTAAAGGCTCACACAAGTACCCTTTAATTAAAAGGACTACTAAACTTAGTGATTTTTAAATTAAAAAGAAGCTACTTTCCTTGCTTCCTTTTTTCAATTATTCCTCAAAATGAAACATATAGGTAAATATCATTAGATGAAATGAAATTACCATTGATTTGAGTTTTTGTTAAGTTACTAGATTCAGAAATCAGTTTAATCTGGGGACAAATACCACATTGTATTTTTGTATTTTCACTAACGATCATAATAAATCCACATATTGCTATACAATATGTCTAATTGGATAAAACTGGATAAAATTGGATCTTAATATAGCATCCAATATAAATGAATCTGCCATATTTTAGAGAAATAAATTCTGGAATTTTTACCAGTAGAGAATGTACTAGCATCAATCAGTCTTTGGTTAGAAGACTACCTAGTAAGATTAGGTAAACCAGGAAATTTAACAAAGATTTCAGCCAAATGTTGCTTCAATATTCTTGTCAAGAAATCTTGCTTACAGAAGTCAAGTTGAAGCCAAGAGGGTCTCTTTATATGGTAGGTGCGTATCTACATTTATTTATTACTGTACTTATACGCATAAAAGGAAACCAAGACAATAGCAGCATTCAGTATCTGCCAGATGAATAACTTCTTTAAGTTTATGATTTCCCTCACACCATTTGAATGTTATTAACCCTTGCTATTAGTTCCTAGCTTGTAAAAAGCAGAAAGAGAAGGGTACTGAAAGAAAAATACATGCCTACTAAGCAGGCACAGGTTGCATATTAGTTCAAGATTTCATGCATAATCCTTATAAGCTACACTGATAGGCAGTGTAGGAAGTAGGTAGGCAAGAAGTAGGTAGGCAGCTTGAAATGGTAATGATCTTGTATCTGCTAAATGCTTTCAGCATGATACTGATTCATACCTGTTACTTAATACTAGCACTAAGCATACATAAAGAGACAGGCAGCCAAGGTACATACATGCATTTATTTTAAATCAGTATAGTACCATGCACAAAGAGCCAAATGTCTTGACATCCTGCATTTAGTTACTGAACTGAAAAGTACCAACTTCTTTTGTCAGACTTAGGATTCTACACCAGTTTAAATATTGTCTAAAACAAAACTGAACAGTTGACTGGAATATGAGATGGAGATACAGTGGAAGCAAGCAGCACAACTGAGGGAATACAATGTTCACTAAGAAGTGATTAGAATAGGCAATAACTTTTATTTTAATAAAAATTAATTATCAGCTAACTATTTAGAATACAAGTAGCTGTGCAGAATGTAAAGATGCTGCTTGGCACTGAAATATCTTTTCACTTAAGATGTTGGTTGGCATAGAAAATACTGTAGCTATTCTTGGACAGCCAGAGCCTATTGCTCTTATACCTAGCTACAGACTGCCCTTCTATTCAAAGAATATTTGTAATGCCCCACTCATTCCACCATTAACATACTATTCCAACAAATGTGTGGATTGGTTGTTTTTTTAAAAAATCTAATTATTGATTCCAATATTTTGGTCTATAGTTCAGAGCCAAATTTCTTCCTCCCTTTTTGACAACACCACCAGAAGTTAAAATATGTGCTCTTGTCTGGAAAGACAAAGAACTCTGGCACTTTAAATCTAAAGCAGCTATTTCCACTGAAACTTCATGATCTTAGAAAATTCATTTTTCTCCCATAGATGAGCTTCCTCTTAAGAGCTCCAAAGCAGCAGCTTGTTTGACAGGGAAATCTCTTATATTCTTTACTAAATATCTGTAATGTCTTCCATCAGTAATAATGGGGAAAATTACCACAAAATGATATGATTATAAATAAAAGAAGTTGTGCTATTATCTATTTTTTTGATCCCTTGAATATTTTCTATATTTCTCTTTGCTGTTCATGTCTTTCATTGGTTGGTTCACTGGTTTCTGGTGATTATGTTGGTTTACTTTTATTTTTTTTAGTTTTTATAAGATATAGATTCTGAATATTGATTAGAAGGTATGTGGTATCATGTATACCTGTTATATAAGATCCCAATTTCTTGAAAAAAAAATTCCTAAACAAAACCACAAACAAAATAAGTTGGAAGGGTGTGGGGAAAGTATATTCTTAGTGACTGCATTATTGTTTATTAATATTTATTCAATGGAAGATGCGTCATTCAACTTAAAATAATTATTTGCTTATTTGTTATATGTGATTCTAATAATAACAATTTATTTTCTCCTTTAGGAAGAAAATATTGAAAGTATGTTGATGTGGTGGACAATTGTTTCTTCTCTTGGATGCATTTTATTGAATGCAAAAGGATGGCCAGTAAAAGAAGGACATGACCTCAGATCATTTCAAGCTCTTATGCGATTACGCCACAAGGTATTGCTAATGCATCAAAATTATTGGCTTTGGAAATTTAAATTTTATTCTTGTAAATGGTAAAAAATATATTATTTGAGAATATCACATACATTTCACATTGACTCCTGTTTAACATAATAAAATGGGAGGGTACTTCTTAGAAAACCACACTGTGTTTCACATCATATGAATGTTTTCTTAAAATGCATTTTATCTCTGTATTAAAAGTAGAAAAATGAAGAGATTGTGCAAACCTTTTTTTAAAATTACTTTTACCTTCAGTACATGTAAGGACTTAGTACTTGTACTTAAAAAAATGTGAATGTATTCTTCCATCATTCTTCTATAATTACAAGAAAGAAAAATATCACATTTCCAGATTCATTTCTTGAAAAAAAATTTCCTAAACAAAACCACAAACAAAATAAGTTGGAAGGGTGTGGGGAAAGTATAATATATTAGAAGAATAGGATTATATGAAGTGAAGAAACATCATTGGGGCTCATAATTTAACTGAAGTCAAAATATGAATGAGCAAGGATGAATCCTCCAAATTCTTAAGTGTGTAAATATTAGTATAATTGCAACTGATTTGTATTAATTGAGAATAATTTCTATTTATAAAACTGTCATCCTGTCTTTTTTCATCTTGTGGAATGAACAAAGAACATATATTTTGTTATACAAAAATCTTACATATTATATAACTTTGGGCTGACAACTACCCTAGGAGGTTTAGAAACATTTAATTGTCAACACACTTTGAACATAAAGCAAATAATACATACATACCTGCATTCTTACTATATACCTTGGAAATGTATTTGTCATGATAACACAGTAGAGAATTATCAATTTATCTTCTATGTAGAAATGATCCTGATCAGTTAACTTCTAGAACTTAAAAATGTAATAAACTACAGAGATGCAGTTAATTTTAATATTCAGTGGATCATATTAAATGTAGATTATATGCATAATCATGTAAGATTTCAGTACAATGAGATTCTAAATGCTAGAGTCAGCTCTTGCATTCGCTTGTGCCCTACTGGTAAAATAGAAATTACAAGATGGAAAAGATACAGTAGAATGAATATATATTTAATATTTTTATGTATTTTTTAAAAATGGCACAACTAATATAAAATGTTCCTTTTTTTAAACAAAATGAAGAAAAAAATATGTAGAAAAATTAGAAGTTTCAAATTATTAATTTGGGAAGGCTATGGCTATTGGGTTATAGCTTATCATTTAAAGAGTCACATTAATTGTTTTTAGATGTTTATCCGAACAGTTGCAAACTGAAAACTGTCCCATGACACTTTGTAAATGTTAGTCCTATCTCTTAGTCTTCTCTTCAGGCTGCTTACTCTGTCCATTCAATTCCTGACATCCATGCCTCTCACAGGATTCTGAACAAAATTTCAACTTCCATTCATGTAATATCAGAGAGATCCTATTGGCATTCAAATAACAGCTTTGAATTTAAATTTTCTATTTAATAAAGCTTCCTTCTAAAGCAGGGGTGGGGAACTATGGCCCTTTTATGATTTGTGGATTTTAACATCCAGAATTCCTGAGCCAGCCAACTAAAATTCACAAGTCATAAATGGGCCATAGTTCCCCACCTCTGTTCTAAAGCAGAGGTCCCCAACCTGTGGGGCATCAGGGACAGGTTCTATGGAGAAAACTTTTTCCACAGTCTGGAGAGTGCGTGGTTTTGTTTGCTGCCTACATCCCACAAATGGGACTTTGCTTGTTTGTATGGACTAGTTGCTGGCATGCTGTGGCCCAGTACCGGTCCACGGACCAGAGGTTGGGGACCCCTGTTCTAAAGGATATGTGCTACAATATTTAAAATCAGTACAGATTTCAAAGTATTTAAAGAAACAAAAGGGACAAATAATAAAAATGTTAATAAGAATGATAAAGCTAGTAGGACTAGGGAAATAATCTTCCACAATTCATATTATTGGGGTAGACTTTTCAGGAAAGAAATTTTTGTCCTATTCCAATTAGAAAAATTACCAAGGAGTTTCCTATTTTAGGTGCAGCTGCTGGTATTTCTGGTATGCCCTGTTTCATTTTATAGATACTTTTCCTTCAAATCTTAGTTACTAGACAAGCTGAGATGGAAGGAGGCAATTATTGGGCATCCTAGACTTAAATTTATTTGGTCTTTAAACATTATCTCCAAAATATTAATTTGTGTTTATAAAAAGTTTAGCAATCAGTGCAGCTGTAGTGTAGCACTGCAGGTAAACTATCATTCTATATTTGCAGGTTTCCAAAGATTATTAAAATATAGCCCTAATTATCATGTATTGTTGGAATCCAACTTAGATGTAACTAAGGAATAGAGACTGAACTTAATTAATCATCATGCTAATGTTATCCAGTTATATCTGTCAACCCCATTTAAGTGAAGTTGTTGAGGTTCTCTTCCAATGTTTGAAGTTTGTGCATGCCTGCATGGGGAGAATATGACTGTGACTTAATCCTATCAAAGCAGAGTGGCTGTGACTATTAAAACCACCTGAATCTGGGAATACTCCATCTATAACATATATAATCCCAATTGGATTAGCCAGCCCCACCCAGGCTGGCAAAAAGACATGGTGTAGACCCTGTCAGTCAAGTAATTTTGGCTGGCTGGTTCCAAAAGAGCTTCTTGTGCCATGGCATCTTGCCCCCAATGTGAGATCTGCACCTACCCTTCTGGCCTTCTAAAAGGGTTTGAAACCTGGCTGTGCTCACTAGCCTGGGCCACAATGGGAGAGGTAGTTAATGGTTTAGCCAGATTCCTACCTCTTCCCTGTGCACACTTTGTTCCCTTCCTTTCCATCCTGGTTAATTACATTTTATTTGAATTTTATATATACGGTTCTTAATTATTGTTTTCATATTTTATATGGTATTTTAAACTAGCTAGATAAGCCTTGGTAAGATGTGCAGCATAGATGTTTAATAATAAATAAAAATACACTTGGATGGGTAGCACTTACCCATTTCAGAGTGGTGTGCAATATGGGGATCTTTCTGGACTAATGGCTCCTGCTTAATACAGTATCTTCATGCGGAGCATCAATTGCACCCTTTACTAAATCAGGAGGCACTTCAAACATCACTTACACTATCACCTCACAGCTCAGTTATTGCAATGTCCTCCACATGGGCTTGTCCTTGAAGACCACCTAGAATCTTTAATTGATCCAGAATACAGTGTCATAGGCAGTGAGGTATATGCCTCAGTATGCCCATGTGCCACTTCTGCTTTGAGAGGTGCATTGGTTGTGTAATGGCATGTGAGAATTGCTGTATTAGTTGTATCATAACATTCTGTAAATTAATCATCTTCCTGCTGCTGGTGTTGTAAAACTGCAGCTGCCAGATATTCAGTGTTCCTTGAGAACTGGAGTCCATTCTTGAAATTTCTTTGAAAGGAAGTATGAGACTTGTAAGATTGATGTCGGCACTCCTGAGTATATCAGGAGTATATCAACTTAACTAGATGAGCTAATTCTACTTTAATGTTTTGTGATGGAATAGAAATTTGTGGATAGAAGTTTTGGCAATGTAGAGTTTTCCAAGTCAGAGGTCCAGATTAAGATACTACGTGTTTTGAGCTGGATTGAGAGGGGGAGAAATATTCAGAGTAGCCACATCCTAGAATCTCTTAGGATATATCTAGCAGGTTAGAAGGTTATAACTTTAGCAATATTCTATTCATTTGATATAAGTATTTGAAAGACTAGACTTGATTGGATTTCACTACGTTATCATTGGGCTTGAGCCCGACGTAAGAATATTGCAGGTCTGAAAGTGCATTTTTTTGTCACCACTTTTAACTACTTGGTCAGTTATGACGGGACCTCTCTAAGTTTCTTTTTTTGTTAGGCCACTGAGGAGCGCCTCCTTCTCTTAACTGATTGCTTCCTGTATAGCATTTCTTCCCCTCATTCCTCAAGGTCCTCCACATATTTCATTTCAAATAAGGACCTGGATTTCGAATGCTTTAAGATGTCAGAGGCTTCCTTGAGTTTATGATACTAGGAAAATTTCATATATAACAAATTCATAAAAAGTCCTACTCTCTGGAAATCTGGAATATTCTTTCAAATTGGCTTAGGCATCTACTATCTCAAGTAATTTATGAATAATAGATAATACAGTTGTACTAAAATAATTACATTGGGACGGATGGAAATGATCAATAAAAAGGATGAAAATGATCAGTAAAAATATGTTTTAAAAGCATTGGCTACTGCTGTTGATATAAAATGTAACAGAGAAATTGTACACGACCAATTATTAATCATTCAAAGTTACAGTGCCACTGAAAAAGTGACTTATGATTAGTCTTTGCACTTACAACCATCACAGCATCCCCATAGGATCAAAATTTAGTGCTTGGCAAGTGACATGTATTTACAGTGGTTGCAGATCCCGGAATTACATGACTGCCATTTGCAATCCGTCCCAGGCTGCTTCCGACAGCTGGATTTGTGTAACAATCTTGATGATTTGCTTAATAACTGCAGGGAAAAAGTCATAAAATCAGAATGACTCACTTAATGACTGCATTGCTTAATGATGGAGCTTCCTGTCCCAATTGTGATTATAAGTCAAAGACTACCTGCATTAAATAACTTCCATCTTGCAATTTAAGATTCAATTTGTTTCTGGGCAAATAGACATTCAGATGATCTAAGACAGAGGTCCCCAAACATTTGGGCACCAGGGACCAGTTACGTGAGAGAGGTTTTTCCACGGACTGGAGGGGGCATGGTTTTGTGTGCTGCCTGCATCCCACGGATGGGGCTTTGCTTGCTTGTGTGGACCAGATCTCTAAGAGATCAAGTTTGTTCCATATTTACTCAGCAGCCTAAGACAGGGCATGATCTTAGTTCTAGTCTGCTTGGTTTTGGATTCATTTTAAATTATGGTATTTGGGGTTGTTTTGGGCTTGATGTATAGTATATTTAAAACTGTTATTATACTATTGAATTTTCTATGAT